ATAGTACAAACCGTTTTGTGCCACCCAGAGACCTCTCCATATTAAAAAAAAAAAAAACCAAACCCGTTGCCATCGAGTTGATTCCAACTCATACCGACCCTATAGGACAGAGTAGAGCTGCCCCATACAGTTTCCAAGGAGCACCTGATGGATTCAAACTGCCAACCTTTTGGTTGGCAGCTGAACTCTTAACCACCGCAAGACCAAGGTTCCTACCCTTCATATAGTACAGTTTTTAAAAAATCCTAGTTGAGGAATTTTTCCAATTTTTTTAATGTAATTAATTTCGTTCTATAAACACATCAAGAAACGCTTAGCTGTTACTACTTGCCCAGGACAAACTTCACAGTTTTCTTTGCTACAGTTAGACACATTTTTTTAGTACTATGATAACTGAGGGGAGCAGAATTGTAATATTTGGCAAGTATGAGGTTTTGTTTTGTTTTTTCCCTCTTTAATCATATGAGTTATCTACTTCTATGACAGTATTGAAGGAAAGGGAACCACAGCATTTTCTAGCATCCCATTATCTAAAACTTAAATAATTGAAGATAAACATTGATCAGTTTACAAATTAAGAGCTAAAAGTCTTTTATTTCTCTTGTATCTGCACAAAAGGGTGCAAACTTCTTAGGCATTTAACAGCACATGTGAAGTTTTCTTTCTTGTAGCAGTAGTTTGCCTATGTCAAAAAATAGGCCAATATTTCAAATTTACCGAATGCAGAACTCTGTCTTTCCGAAATTCTAGAATTGTCTCTGTCTGTTTTCTGCAAACTGGTAGTGGTACAGTTTTGGGTTTTGGTTTTCTATGTTCTCATCTCCAATATGGGTTTCCTTAGTGTGTCACTTTCTTTTAAATGTGAATTAAACAGTATCTTAAAGTATATTATTTATAACCAGGAAACCTTGAAAACTATTTCATAATTTGAAGGATCTGAAAAAAATTAAACACAATAAATGAGTTTTACTTCCCTTAGTCACATTTTTTTTGTGATCAAGTATTCTTAAACTTTTTTCCTAGCCTCCTCCCTTCCCCTTAATAACATTTTCCTGTTGAAAATTCTAAATTGTTTTTCTGCTGAACAGGAGACATCTGTTTTCTTTAACCCTGAGACGAATTTTGTATCAGTGGATAACAGATGCTGAGTTTTGGGAGGAATGCTATAGGTGGTAGGCTAACGCCCATGAGTTCAAAACGTTCTTTTGACCAGAGTCTGTCTAAAAGACTGTACCACCTACGCTTATTTTCTTAAATTTTAAAGTCTATAAACCCAGGAACAAATATGTGTATATCATATATATCATACTTGTAAATGGCTTTTATTTTATTTCCCATGCACTCCACCTCTTGAATAACAAATGTGTTTTCAAGTATCTTTGAATCTTTTGTTATGAAAAAATCCCCAGCATTTCATTATCCCCAACACACATATTCCTTGTCCCTCACCACTGGATTCTTTGGAAATCAATCACAGGCATCATATTATTTAGGCATGTTTCTTTAAAAAGACGTTTGGGAAAAGAAAGAGAATGTATTGCCAAATCATGAATTTAGATATTCCATTAGGAAACTGATAAACCTCCTTTGCAAATCTCTTTCCCAGCCATGTTGCTACATGAATCCTCAGTACAATAAATCTGCTCATTATTCCCTTAACATATAAATTCCTGATTCTGTGGGGTTTTTTGTTTGTTTGTTTTTCTCCTGCTTTTGTGTCTTCTGGAGCCTGCTCTTTATTCTTCTGGGCCCATGTAAAGGGTGCCTTTCAAGGCTTGACTCAATTCCTGCTTTCGCCTTGAAGTCTTTCCTAAAGCATTTTTTTGTCAGCTTAGGTGTCACTTGCATATGCTGCAATGAGTTGCTGTTAAGTTTTTTTAAATATGTGACCTATTCTAACTCAATTATAACTGCTGTGCCTTAGTTGTCTCATATATTAACCTCTCAGATATGTGAGGATGAGTAAGATAATACAAAACAAATGCTCAGTGACTATCAAGAATTATTGTTAGCTATAAACTCCTGGAGGGAAAGAACCATGTTCTATGCCTTTTTAAAACCACAGTGTCTAGCCTCATGGCCCAAGACAAGAGCTCCAAATGTATAAATGAATGTTTAGTTATTTTGGCTGGGAGGAAATCAGTGGTTTGTATTTCATGTGATTATCAAATAGTATTTATTAATACACTTTTGTGTATGTTCAAAACATAATGGCAGTTGAAAGATAAGCAATGTAAGATACTTTGTGTTCTGTCTAGAATTGATCATTAGAGCTAATTTATAAATTTATTCCAAGGTATAAAATGTATATCACTTGTATTCAGATGCAAAATTAAAATGCAGTTTAATTCAAAGCCAAGACATATTAAACTTTACCCTTGCTGTATTCATGAAGGATTTGCATAGACAAACAAGTATTAAAGTGGTAATTACAAATCATTTTTGTTTGTTACATTTCTCAAACCATAAAAGGAATACTTATAAAACTTGAGAAACCCAGAAATGTTGAGAATTAGGTAAAAAAAAACCACAGATAATCACTGCATTCTCCCCCTTTCTTTGCATATAGATAGATTTACACAGCTAAAGATAAGCTGGTTGTAAAATCTCGCATCTTGTTTTTCTTACAGCTTAGCATTGTACATAAACATTTTTTGTCATTAAGAACATTGGTAAATGTCATGTATAGTTTTTTGAACCATTTATACGTTGTCATGGATTGAATTGTGTCCCCCAAAAAATGTGTGTAGCAACTTGGCTAGGTCATGATTCCCAGTATTGTATGATTGTGTTATCTGATGTGATTTCCTTATGTGTTGTAAATTCTACCACTGTGATGAGATTATATGTGATCTCCTCATGTGTTGTAAATTCTATCACTGTGATGA